GCAAGCGTTACTCGTGTTACGGTAAAAATATAACTCAATGAACCGTGATCGGGGCATCCTTTTTATTTGATGATTTCATCTAAGAGGCAATGTGATGAAGACAAATGTTTAGTACGACACGCTGTAATCTGAATCCCCCAGGTCAGAGGTAATTGTTTTATCATTTTAATATTGGCGCAGATAACCGTATGTATGTATAGCTTTAATGCTGCAACTTTTATATACTTGTCTCACTCACCAGTTTCATTACAACGAACAAGAGGGAGAGAGAGAGAGGTGTAAGTGGCAAGTCGTTACCGCCCACACGCCCCCGGTAACATGCTTATAGTTGTCGGAAGAATCTTTTTGACTCCTGTTTACAGCACGTCTACATAATGTCCACTCCACGTGCGAATTTATAGCTTTCTAAACTATATCAAAAACATATACTTAATATATGTAAAAAAAATCTAGTAATACTTGCTAGTGCAATGATTTATATTTATAATGACGTTGTTTTTATTATGGCAATTCACCAGTGTCGGACAATATAGTGGGTGAACTCCTCTTTACTCCCTACAAATTATTATACGACCCTTTTAACGGCAGTCCGATTACAAGCGCTGAACGTAACATTATTACAGGTATACAACAATAATAATATTCAGTAATAAGAGTTGAACTGTAAACAATAGCTGTTGCAACATGTCTTACATGTCTTATCTTGATTACTGATTTACTGAATATGTGTATCGCTCCAAGTTAACGCTTGGTAACAGTAACTCGGCACTTACCTACGCTATGTTTGAGGCTGATCGTAAAATGTCACACGTGAATATGGACGTTGTCGTGTACGTTTAGAGACCATAACGGCATGTCGCGGAAAGTAAAGCCTTCGAGCTGGTGAAATGATACGCGCAATCCATAGTAATGATGTTCACGGAAGTGGCCGACATGCGGCGCTCATGTCACGCACCGTGTCGTCGCGAATGATCGTCGGTAAAATAACAAATTTTGTCTTATATTTCTTTAGAATATATACTCTGTTGTTAATATATAGAAAAAAAAAGAATTTTTAACTGGAGACAGTTAAACGACCTAATCTCGAAGGTTGCCAATAATTATAATTCAACGTATAAAAAGACTATTTATAATTTGTACTTATCGTACATAGAGAAAAGATCTACCAATGAAAAATATTTACATTTAAGAGTTATTAATAAGTCAATATTTGGCGCGTCTCATTTTAACGTTACCAGTAATGGTTGATTTGTTTACAAACTTATTGCACTCTGTGTATAAACTAAAGTTTTGATTTTATATATTTTTTTTTATTATATCTGTATTATTTATTTAATTTTATAATTTGTACGTTCTAGAGGTTTCTTAGATTACATCAACCGTTCTCGTATATAATATTATATGTAAAGATATTTAAGTGTGTGTACAATAAGCATAAAAATATTCTTATATCTTATTGATCTTAAATTATATCTAAACTTTATTGTCTTTTCACATGGTTTAAACTTAATGATTATTATTATTGATTAACTTTACGATTAATAATAAAATTAAATATGCATAAATATAAAATCAAAACTGATCCCATTGTGACGTCACAGAATAAAAATGCAGTAGCGAAGTGCAGGGCCGGGGGCGCACGCGCATGTCGCCGTCACATCATCCTCGATTGTTTACCCCGCTAGTAACGTAACCGCGCCGTTGCCGCGCCGCGCTCGCCTCCTCTCACTTTCGCGATGCGCTGTCCCTTTCGCTCGCCGTACACCCGTCTCGCTCTCGGCTAGCGGTGTTCGACTTTTTTGGACATGCAGTTTTTTCCGTTCTCGGTTATGTTCACTTTACGGACCTACATTGTTTACAGTCAACTGTTTATTTAATTGTGCATATTTTATAGTAGTGGTTTTTTTTTTCACGATAGAAACGGTGGATTGCGTTTTCGGCTAAGATTATTATATTACTATATGTGCCTCTTATTAATATATTAAAATATACAAGAAATATTTCGTCAAATGAGTAGAAAACTGGTTAATAATGACGTACTAGATAATTTTTTGCTGTATAGGCAAAATAAGTCACGACTTACATGGTTATTAGATTAAGTATCTAATTCGTGACGATATAAAGAAGTTATAAGTACAATAATAATTAATTGTAAAAAAAATATGTTTCATGATAGTGCCTTTCGATTCATTTTCTTTTTTTTTATCGTCGATTCAGGCGCATCACAATCTTTTTACAGCATTCCTGTATTTTACGGGAACTGATGTACTAGAATAAAAGTGGGCTATGTTACTGCCTTAAGCTCTAGCTGTCCATTTCCAACTTCAAAAATACGAACTTTTCTCCAAATTTTTATTCGATTTTGGGGGTTGCCATTAGAAGATGACAAGACTACAAAAAAAATGTTTTGTTCATATATTTTATGAAATTTTATAAAGTATGTAGTATATATGTAGATATGATATTCGAATTATCATATTAGTACGGTTTCACGTAACTTTATGAAACATATAAAACAATGTGGCCTTGTTTAAACATCTGTGTTTTCAGTTCCTAAAGTTGCACGAAGTTACGTAAGTTCGCAATGGAACTGGTTAGGGTGGAAATTTCCCGGAAAACTCAGCTTTTCAGTGGCTTCAACCGGGCGTTATCGCCTGGCTCTGTGCGTCCAAGCGTCGTCGTCGTTCGCTCCACATTTTAAATTCAAATAGCCGCAGATTTTTCCGAGCAAGTTTTACTCTTTAGAGTCGAGGGCTTTGTCGAGGAATATTTTTGCTTAATATCCGCCATGTCGCGGAGTTCGCTTTGATGTAGCCTTTGAATTTCCATCGTAATCTATTGACCTCTTTGTCGGAGTATCGGAAAAACATTAGCGTCGAGTGAAGACATTTGTACAAGATGCTCCTTTAGTAGTTTGCCGCTGCAGCTATAATGGGTTTCAGCTTTCGTAAGGTACGGAAGTGCATCATCCTTTTGTTCGACTTGATGGAAATGTCGTCTGATTATGATCTCTTGTAAGTGTATCGCACAAGTTTGAAAGGCTTCGTGTGATTTTAACATCAATGCGTGGTCACGTCACACGGTAGAAAGTGAGTTGGTCCCGCGCGAACGCATCGGGCGTTAGAAAGCGGCCGGTCTCAGACGTCCACCGAAACACTGATAGGCATGCGCCCGCGCATTCTTTAAGCGAACCGACCGGACTTGTTTATGTTCTATTTAGAATTATTTGTAATTGTACTTTGTAAACGTTTTAAAATGAAACCTATTGTAATTTACCGTGAACTCAATCGTTTAAGACATTGGTTTCAGTAAATCTAATCACATCACCCAGGTTTTTAGTTCTTAAAATCAATTGTACCATTGACCTGAATCGAAATTTACATCTTAATGAGTTATATTGTCCCCCCAATGTTATCGCATTTCGATGCGACCCCACGCGCGTCTGCCAGGTGCGTGGACCCCTTTCCGCTGCAGATGGTTACGTCGGGAAGAAGTCCGTTGACCCTTTTGGTTGCGGCTATAAATATAATGCACACCTTCTGCATGGCAACAAGACGGTTAACCTTTTGACCTTGATAAGGTTTCGTGCGATATTTTACCATATGGTTTAAACATTTTTTTCGTTTCGCAAGCTGTAATAGAAGTAGGTCATACAGTCACCATTTTTTTAGTTGTTAAAATAAATTTAAGTACATATAATTAACTTTGCTTCTAAGAGTCACTAGTACCAAAATTTTTGTAAAACTACTATCTTACATTACCTACTTTTAAGTTTAAATGGAAATTACAATTCGAGATCGTAACTTAAAGACCTTGTACAAAAATTTAATAACATTAATTTTTACTGTCAATCTTACTGTAAAAAATGCAAATAAACTATTTAAGTATTTTGAACTGCACTTTGTGCTGTTTCTTGTGTTTTATTTCAGAATTCAAAATATCACTTCTTTTGTTGTATTAGTCTATACATATAATAAAATTGTAACTGAGCCGAATCTGTACATTAAATATTTTGTGGAAAATCTAATTGAAATAAACATTATTATCGATAAAAAGGCCGAATCTATAGTTTTTAGAATTTTTGTCTTGTCTGTCTGTTACCGCATCACAGAAAAACTACTGGAGGGATTTTGATAAAACTTGGTATGGTGATAGCTGGTTATCCGAGTCAACATAGCGGGAAAATGTCTCATTTCTGAGAAAAAATACTAAAACGCAATGTACGAGTAGTTTTGGTTATATGAACGCGGGCGGAGCCGCGGGCAATGCTAGTTACCTACTCGTAAAACAATGAACACTACGTAAGAATTTGAAATATAGTAGATATTTTATATAATATATCTTATTCTTCTTATTTGTGCCTTTTTAATGAATAACTTCCTCTTCCTATAGCAGTGATATAGACAGAGAGCATTATCACATATGTTTTTGGATTACAAAATTGCACAATCATGCATGTATAATTAATTAGTAGTGATCACAATAATTCATCTACATAATTTATTTTTTATCATCTGCCGATAAAAATGAAAATTGTGTACGAATATTTAACTACACAGCTATATTAATTAAACTAGCATTGCCCGCGGCTCCGCCCGCGTTCAGATGACCAAAAACCAAATTCTTAGGTGTTGCATATTAGTATACTCTAACATTGCAGTTTTTGTATTTTTTCTCAGAAATGAGACATTTTCGCGCGGTAAAAAGTATCCTATATGTTGACCCGGATAACCAGCTACCTATCACCATACCAAATTTCGTCAAAAGCCCTTCAGTGGTGTTTCTGTGATGCGTTAACAGACTAACAGACAAAAATTCTAAAAACTATAGATTCGGCCTCTGTATCGATAATATTGTTTATTTCAATAAGATTTTGCAAAAAATATTTAATGTACAGATTCGGCTCGGTTACAATTTTATTATATGTATAGATTAATTATTATTAGCAAAAAAAAATTTTGTGCGTTGTGCAAACAATAATGTTGCTCTGTTCGTTCCAGACGGAGCTGTATGGCATAAAATGGCGTAAACTCGTATGGGGAGAGACGAGTGGCGGCGGCGAGGGCGAGGAGGGCTCTGCGCCGCTCGCGGACCCGGTGATCAGCAGCTACGCGCGCTGTCTCGCCGGCGACATCCTGTGCGTGTGGCGGCGCGTGCCGCACGACATCGACACAGGCATGCCCGCGCCGCCGCCGCTCTCCCTCAGGGCTTCCAAGGAGCTCTGGATATTCTGGTACGGCGAGGAGCCCGATCTCAATGGGGTAGTCGCACCGGAACTTATCGCTAGCCGTGAGTATACATTATTTACATATATTATATCGGTGTTGTTTGTTGATGTTTGAGACAGGTCATAGATAAAAAGTAAAGAAAAGAACAGGACAGAACTAAAAATAGCGTAAATCGAATTCAGATGTGATGTTTTATATTAGCTTGAATGTCCTGTACAAAGCGTTATATTAAGTGAATTGCTCTAGAGTCTAGAGGGAGTTTATATAAAAATAGCCACTTTTAAGTGTTAAACTTTTAAGTACACCTTAACTATGTTACGCGAGTGCGGCAAAATGGCTGGACTTAACAGCTCGTTTAACAAGCTCCCGGGAGTTGTATCATCGGTAACAATTACGCGAAAGATTAAGATCGTGCGACGTCATCTCTTTGAAGACACTCTGAAAGGAGAGAAGGCGAACTTGAGACTAATTATTATAATAAATGACATTTGCTGTTAGATTCAAGTATACGAGAGTGTTGCTCACTTTTGACAAGTTTGACAGACAATTTGTTTACTTATAATAATCAGTTAATTTAAATCAATATATTCAATATGGCTACAGAATTGTAACAATTTAATAGACAAAAAATACATTATTTTTAGAAATGTGTCAATGATTAATATCTTCGAGGTATACAAGTAGCATTATAAAAGTTATTCGAGTTAACCTTATCTTCCTTTGTTCTAAGTTGATTATAATAAGAAAAAGAACTCATGGAATAGGTATATTTTTAGTAAGTTATAAGTAAAAGTGTTGGCGAAGTGTCAAGAAAACTTGAAGGCAGCCTCAAGCCTGTCGAAGGCTAGTTGCCGACTCTAACGCAACAGGTGGTTAGTAGTGATATAGTTAGCGAATACTTTGTTATAAATATGTTTTGAAAGAGTATGACACATCTTACTACTCTCATTCATGTAAAATGCTCCAAATAGACCGTGTGGGATTCTGATATCCAAGTTTATCTATAAATACTAAGAAAGAAAGCTGCACAGTTTGTTATTATATATTTTTATTAAACGCGATACACTCTAAAATTATCAAATCGCTTTGAAAATGTTAATAGTCTATTTATTTATGCGGTTTGCTTAATTCGTAACTACAGTCCGTAAGGCATTTAGTAACTTTAAACTATCAAATTTTCTCTACTATCTTGCAATGAAATGTAAATGTATACACATACAAAAATCCTATCAACATTTACTAAGTAGTTAAAACATAGGAACGAACAGAAATGTCAGCTTTGTTCTATAGTGCTTAGAGATGATAATTGATATTCATTCATACATTATAAAAAAAAAATTTTTTGCCGGCATATATTTAGCAGTTTAGCAAGTATTGGAACAGCCGTAGAGAATTATACGGTTATTGTAACGACTAGAAACTTCATATTCGACGACGTATTAAGCAACACCCAAGATTTTTAATTGCATGAAGACACGATATTTAGACGGATGTAACGTCGTGTGTCCGTTGCACTTTGAAATATGCCTGTCAGAAATAAATATAATTCGTAAATACAACTAGGTATGCATTAATCTTCGCATTTAGTGGTAATTAAGGTAATTGTCGACATATTTTAAAAAGATCGAAAAATTCTTTGAAGCAAGACAGCAGCCAGAATCTTTCACTCTATTTCTAGAATGATTAAGCGGTAAGCTGTGTTACTCCATATTTAACTGCAATACGTTCTCCTTTTGTTTTTACTTTCGAGGCACTTGTATGCGCAGTAAACGCGCGCATACTTCAGTTTAAATTTATTTTTGGTCTAAGCTTAAGAGTAATACTTAATCCTATAAACATATTTATAATTAAAATATTTTAGTTTATTGATTAGTACGATACATTGCCATTGTTTCGCTCAGACGCTTTCCTAGTTAATAATTTTTAACGAGCCAGATTTCCACGACAACCCTTTGATGTACGGAGATAAAAAAACTGTCCAAGTAGTGACAATCCCATAAACCGTGGAGTATCTAACAATTACGTTGAATTGTAACTCTGTTGCTGCATGAAAGAAGGCTACCACTGAACACATATTTATATTACTAGCATTGCCCGCGGCTCCGCCCGCGTTCAGATGACCAAAAACCAAATTCTTAGGTTTTACATATTAGTATACTCTTACATTGCAGTTTTTGTATTTTTTCTCAAAAATGAGATATTTTCCCGCGGTAAAAAGTATCCTATATGTTGACCCGGATAACCAGCTATCATCAGACCAAATTTCATCAAAATCCCTCCAGTGGTTTTTCTGTGATGCGGTAACAGGCAGACAAACAAAAATTCTAAAAACTATAGATTCGGCCTCTGTATCGATAATAATGTCTATTTCATTAAGATTTTCCAAAAAATATCTAATGTACAGATTCGGCTTAGTTACAATTTTATTATATGTATAGATTACTCGTAAGGATAGTGTTATTATTTTAATATATCAATCATCCATTACAGTGATTCTGTTCTTCGCGTATTTGTTTAAACGCTACCGGCGCAGGCGCAGCACCGGCGAGCAAGTTCACGCGGGTGCGACCGAATCCGAAAATAGAACGTGACATAAATCTACATAAACGGTCCTTATTTTGGACGTTGCCCATTGTGACGGTGACGCTTACTTTTCTTTATATAATCAAGGATTTGCTTTGTTACATTTTATTTTGAATATACAGCACAAAGCCACGATAAAAAATCTGTAAATATAACATTTTTTTAAAGAACATCTTATATTAGTTTCTTCGAATGTATCCATAAAGGTAAACAAGGTGGTACGCAATGAACTTCCTTCCTTGTTATTTTCCTTGTGTAGGATGGTAAGAATCTGCGTATTGTGACCGTGGCTGAGCAACGTCAATTGTATTAACCTTGCGTACCCATTTAGCTCGGGAACAACATACTGTAGCCGCCGTTATATAGCAAAAAACCATATATTCTAATTGAAAATTGATCTCATTAGTGTATTAATTTATTAATATGTCTTATAACGCCGCGCCGGTATTAGAACATAACTAAGTATGTGAATTAGGAAGGCTTTAACGGAGGCGCGGACTGAGTTGCGTAATTTCGCACCTAGGTGCCAAGTAGACTTAATAATATTACGAAGCGCCACGTGCTCTATAGACCCACTCGCTATAGGGTTCATTAACTTGCAAGATTTAGATTTTAGAATACTTACGTCTTTGTTTATAGTAATATCGAAGTTTAGTTTTTTTGACAAAATCTATCAGTAAGAATATCTGTTTAATATATAAAAAAAACGGTACTATTTAGTACTATTTACTGACATAACAAAATTCATATTTTCTCCAAACCGCTGTTAGTTACGATAAATCATTCCTGGTCACCCATTTCTGGGTTTAAGACGAGACAGACTAGGCTAGCACACAAGGTATCGACTAACTGCGCTGTAGCGATGTTACCGCTTATCATTTTACCTCCTTGTTTTTTAACTTCATATTCAATATTATTTAATCACTAGCATTGCCCGCGGCTCCGCTCGCGTTCAGATGACCATATCCTTAGGTTTTCCATATTAATATACTCTTACATTGCAGTTTTTGTATAAAAAATACTCAGAAATGAGATATTTTCCCGCGGTAAAAAGTATGCTATATGTTGATCCGGATCCGGATAACCAGCTATCATCATACCAAATTTCATCAAAATCCCTCCATTGGTTTTTCTGTGATGTGGTAACATACAGACAGGCAGACAAAATTCTAAAAACTATAGATTCGGCCTCTGTGTCGATAATAATGTCTATTTCAATAAGATTTTCCAAAAAATATTTAATGTACAGATTCGACTTAGGAATTTAATTATATGTATGTATTATCCGTTTAATCATCACTTCATTGAAACCATTACGCGCTTGTCATTTCTAAGAACTTAAAATATTTAACGCTCACGTAAATTAACAACCCATATTGCAAGAATTCGTGTGAACATTTCACCACGCTTGTCAACTTGAGTGGGTGAAACGTTATTGATTTTTATTCTTTTTCATCGTGCTAATATTTCTTGAATATTTTGTTATATGTCAGTTAAACTAGTACAGAGGGTAGTGCTTACTAACTTAACATTGTTAGCTTGACTTTTAAATACTAATTGTTTATAAAGTGCTGTCTATTGTACAATAAGCTGTTGATATATATAAATAAATAAATATGTTCTACGTATTTGATACTACCTAGTTTTCTTGTTATTTAAATGGTGAAGTCATCGTTTTAATCTAGAATCAATTTAAAAAAAAAACAGCTAAATAGACACTAATAGCTTTTACTTAATTACCTATGGCTATAATAGCAACAGATGGTAAACAGAGTGGTTGATGCTGCATGAGCGAAGGTCGCCGCCGTGCCACTGCGGACGGAAATAACTGGACGCATGGCAATTTCCCGTCAAATCGAAGTTGAAACTAACATTCTCATTTTATTTGGTATTGTATATTATTACTAGCATTGCCCGCGGCTCCGCCCGCGTTCAGATGACCAAAAACCAAATTCTTAGGTTTTACATATTAGTATACTCTTACATTGCAGTTTTTGTATTTTTTCTCAGAAATGAGACATTTTCCCGCGGTAAAAATTATCCTATATGTCGACCCGGATAACCAGCTATCACTATACCAAATTTTATCAAAATCCCTCCAGTGGTTTTTCTGTGATGCGGTAACAGACAGACAGACAAAAATTCTAAAAACTATAAATTCGGCCTCTATATCGATAATAATGTTTATTTCAATAAGATTTTCCAAAAAATATTTAATGTACAGAATCGGCTTAGTTACAATTTTATTATATGTATAGATAGTAATAATAATTAAACAAAAATAACGAAAATTCCAACCTAAAAGATGTACATATTATATTCAAGTTTATAAAAGTGCCGATGGTGAAAGTCTTACCTCATTAATTCGTTATAAAAAATATTTTTTATAAGTATTAATTAATTGCAATACTTTTTTATTAAAGTCCAAAGTTAGTTAAACTCTCTGGACACTTAACGGCATATCACATATATACACGT